CCAAACAGCAGTCACCCACTCCCACCTTCCGTCAAATCCAAGTCACCACTTCAGCGCCGATCGACATTCTCCTGTCAATTGCTTCCGCCAACCCAAGCGGCGCCAAGCAGCGCCGCGAATGCACACGATCCTGCTTTGATGACGCCCCCATTTCTGCACATATTCAAGCCCCAGCAAATACCGCAGTGCTCCCATCGCCTGCGAAAGGCAAGAAGGAACCATCTCCTGGAGCTTGGGTCTTACCACGTACCTGACTTCCACACGCCAACACCTCTCAGCAAGCATGCTTCTATCAGCGTCTTGCCCCCGAAAAGCAAACAAGCTCCGTGCCAAATCGTCCGGCATCTCCGCACACCTACGTTTCTCTGGACCGTTCTGCCACGCACTTGAAAGAAGGCACTTAGTGGAATGCACTCAAGGTCCCCAACACCGCCAAGGACGTGCGAGATACTCACAATCCAGCGGGAACCCGCAATAAGCACCGTTCTCCGACCTCAAATATAGACATGTGATACCAAATTCATCATAGATATGGAGTACGACAATTTGAAAAGTCACCTTTTATGCAAGTATTACGAACATTTCAAATCGAGGATGCCGCGTCGGCATCCGTGACAGTACAGACGCGGACGTGATCACGCAATACTCCAAGTCATGCAATGACCACGCCGTCGTCACTGCGGTCTGCAATACAACGTTGAATAAGCTCCACAACAAGTGAGCGGAATAGGGGAGAAGCCGCCCACATCCGCGTCTGTACTGTCACGGATGAAGACGCAAGCGCACATATCGATAATTAAGTTCAGAGGGCCAAACCTCAAGAGAGTCTTGTAAATGTCGGGATTCGTGGGCAGCAACTCGACGTCAACAAAGGAGGGCCGACGCAGCATCCTCGATTTGAAATGTTCATAGGCGCGTGCTGCTAACGTTTACGGGTAGTCGCTCTCCAAGCAGATCCCGGTCATCGACACGTACGTCATAGCGGCGTACGGCCACCCACCGTTGCACCCCGCGCTGCCACTCTCGGTGGAGCAGCTCGTAACTTGCTGCTCGGGCAGATCGAGGGGCTCTCTTGTCACGATGCAGCGCGTCGACTCCGCGCACCCACGGTGGAGAAGGCCCACCACGATCGCATTGGCCTTGTTGCGCACGGGATTGACGCACGCCATTGATCTAGGCCACCGACGGCGCCTTGACGCTGGTCACGTTTAAGTTGGTCTCTGGGACCGATTTGAACGCACTTCGGCTTTCTTCGAGAAACACACCCTCCAGGATATTGCTGAACCAGCCTGCGTCAAGAGAGCAAACGGGTGGATGTAGTCGAACGTGGTGTCGGGGTTGTTGTGACTGGCCCATACGATCGCAAGCTTCTTGTCGTAGTACCTCTGGAGCACATCGTTTTCCGCCTCCAGCCGACTCGAGCTTTCGGTGGCGCGGGGCAACAGACCCTGCACCGCAGCGTCAGGTCCAAACTCCTTGAGTGACTCGCTCAACTCGGCGGGCAGCACGGAGCGCTCATCAGACGAGAGCATCCTACAGACTGCTTGGTAGTGGCAGCGGACGTGACGAGGGGTGCACCAAACAATATT